AAATAGGTTCTAGTGCGGGTGGTAATGGACAAGAGTACGTGGTTTTCGATAGGTCCACTGAGGGGTTTTCTAAAGGCACTTTGGATAGATCTACTGCAGCAAAATTGAAATTAGAACACTTTTATAAAGTTACTTTGGATCAGGCAAGAGAACGAAACGACCGGTATGTAATCACTACCAGCTAACAACGGTTGTTCTTGCGGATTCGGAATTTATATCGAGATTATAGTATAAGTGTTCAATCCTTTTAGTGTCCGTCCTAGCGCTTACAGCATAGATCTTTGATGTAACAATTAACTATTTTATAGACGTAATGAACTTGAAAAAAAGCTTGAAAAAGAGGACTGTTCGGAAGAACGAAAGAACAGACAACTTCAGTCACTTGGACGTAAAGAATCGAATTTTTTAAGACTTAAAAGAACAAGGCTGGGGTTAGAAGATTTTGATACAGTCAAAGTGATCGGTAAAGGCGCGTTTGGTGAGGTGTGCTTTTCTTAATATTATTCGTTAAATTAATAATAGGCGAATTTGTATACTATTGATTCATTATATGCTTTTGCATTCATGGAAATTGAATTCAGGTTAGACTCGTTCAAAAAACTGATACTGGGAAAATATATGCTATGAAGACGTTAAGAAAAGCAGATATGTTTAAAAAAGATCAGGTGATTTATCCTGATTTATCCGAATTTTGATTTACTGGTCCAAAAATTCGGCAGAATAAAGTTATTGAGTTCTTATATAATGTAGTTGGCCCATGTCAGAGCCGAACGTGATGTTCTTGCCGAATCGGATTCTCCATGGGTGGTTCAATTATATTATTCTTTCCAAGATGCATCATATCTTTATCTTATTATGGAATTTCTACCCGGGGGTGACTTGATGACCATGTTAATTAAATACGACACTTTTTCGGAGGATGTAACAAGATTTTATATTGCTGAATGTGTCCTGGCCATTGAGGCAATCCATAAATTAAATTTCATTCATCGGTAATTTTTTTTTTTTTTGTTTTATACGCTGAAATTCATAATGAAACTGTGATATATATAATTGCAAATTCATTTTAAATTCAGAGATATTAAGCCTGATAATATTTTGATTGATAAAGATGGTCACATTAAATTATCTGACTTTGGTCTTTCTACGGGTTTTCACCGAACACACGACTCTCAATACTATCAACGACTTTTGGATGGAAATCTCAATAGTGCTGGTCATAGACAATTAGGCAGTGAAGCTAATATTAACTTAACATTGTCAAGTAAAGACAGAATCGCTACATGGAAAAAAAATCGAAGAGCATTGGTATTATTTATTCACTTTCTTATTTCTATTGATTTCTTTTTCTCTACATTAAAGTCTGAATAAATCGATTTTGTTAGGCTTATTCTACTGTAGGTACTCCTGACTATATTGCACCCGAAATTTTCCTACAGCAGGGCTATGGTCAAGAATGTGATTGGTGGTCACTCGGTGCTATTATGTTTGAATGTCTGGTTGGTTATCCTCCGTTCTGTAGTGAAAGCGCCCATGAAACTTACCGAAAAATTATTAACTGGCGAGATCAATTATATTTTCCTGATGATGTTCATTT